GCTGCACTAAGGTCAAGAAGGACAAGCACAGAGATGAGTCCACTGTCAGAGGCCATAGAAGGATCATTTTAAATAGTCCAGAGTATGTGAAGCATTGTGGGTTAATTTATTATTAAACTGAGGCAGATAAAGTGCTTGAAGTTTACAGAATAAAGCGCTGTATGGTTAAAGGTAACTTTGAGTCTAAAGTGCCTTATGTGGTCAGTAAGACCTAAAAAAAAGTATTTTAAATAGTCTTGAAATGCCCCTCTTCACATATGGTGCATGTATGATCAATTGCATATACCTGCTTATGAGAAATGCAGAAATTATTAAAGTTATTTTCAGAAAAGTCATTCAAAAGTTGTCCTCACAGATCCAGCGAGCTAAACAGAGGGTGCATTACCATCAAGAGATACACGCAGTGAGTAAAGAGGGAGAAACACTGGTAAGCAGCCCATGCAGCAAACACCAGCCAATCCTGATGTATCCTGAAAAACACAGAGACATGACAAACTGAGACTCACACAGTACTTGATACACTCAAGGCCAGCTCACGATTTCTACACGTTTTTCAAGTGTGGTCATTCTGCTTCAGCAGCTTCCCAACACACCGAAATGCTCCAGCAGGCTAACAAGCTGCTTTATGTTCACAGCACCAGTTAAGTGACTCGTTATACAAACACACAGCAATGTAACGCAACTGAGTGTTTCTCACCAACAATATTCAGCCAGTAAAGCAGAACTTGGAGCCCCATCTTTGGTTAAAGCCAAAGTCTCATTGCAAAAATTACAACCTCCGTAACTACCCCCACAAATACTACACCTGTGGTGTAATATATCCCCCAATGCTTTCAGTTTGAGTCTTGTACAGATTCCATGGGGTCGTTGAAGTGGCGCTTGTAGCTTTAAGTCTAAGTACTACGCGGATGTAGCAACCTGAGAACCAATGGCTTTATATGGTCCTTGATAGAATGGCACGCCAAGGTCAGTTCAGAAATTTTAAAATTTAATGACTGAGTAGCTATACGGCAATTGGGTATAATTTTAACTGTTTTACATTTAGGTGGAATAGAATATAGAAGCTGGTCTATGAAACGGCTGAAATTGTATGAGAGTTGCATGCTGGAAATCCATCTAGCATTCAGGGGCGGATCTAGAGAAATTTTCTTAGGGTGGCATGAGGGTGGCAAGGAAGTCAAATGCGGCCGCAAAATTAAAGTCAGTAAGTATACACGTTTTTCATATAAATATAATCTATACCTTAATTGTTTTCTGTAGCCCATATAATTAAACACTTTAGTTATATAACACATGCAAATTCTGATTGTATGTACTGTATAGCCTATATAATAAATAAATAAATAAATATGTAGCCCAATAAGTATAAAACCCAGAAAGCAACAGAACATGGGGTGTTTGCTTTATAAACACAAGTCTAACTTCAGTTTCACACATATTGTTACAGCTTAAATGACACAAAATGTCAGAAATCTGCACCGTCATGAACAAAAATCTAAACCTGACTTTTCATGATTTGTTAGGTTGACCCAAAATATAACTGGACATTTTTGACTCCTTTTGATTTTACATTTGTATTTCACCCTCAGATTGTTTCATTTTTATTTTCTTCCTGCCTTGTTTGGTATCATTGTTTTCAGCTCAACCTGATGTGTCTGAATTTAGTTGTTTTTTTCACGGACGTACTGTATTAACACAACTGAACTCCCACAAAAAAAACCCCATAAAATCCCAGTAGTTTGTTTATTTTACTGTCAAAACCACAGACATGTGGAGTAAATTATTTGTATAACTTGAAATGCAAATATAAATTGTACATTTTGAAAACTTGTGCACACATTTTATAAACATATACAACTATTTATCTGAAAATGCAACCAATACATCTGGCATTTTTAAAATTTGGTACAACCATTTAAAAATACTACTATAACTAAAATGAAAGAACAATCAGGTGTCACAATAAGATGCCCCACAAACTACTTGTGCCAGAACAGCACAGGGACAAACCTGCAGGCCTGACAACAGGAGGTGTATCACTGCTCCTGTTTTCACCTGGTGACAGTGTTTACATTGCAATGTGCCTTTGTGACAGTCATTAGTGGCCTCACTGACACACAAAACAAAACTATGACTACACAACACACTAACTAGACAACACAACCTACTAACTATACACTCCACACTAAACGTCACAAATCTCCCACATCTCAAAACTGGCTATCGATCTCTGTCTCTCTCTCGCTGTCTTGCTTTCCCCTCTTCCTAAACAACCAAATCCCAGATGCTGACGTTTTAAAAAATATTGGTCGACATGGTGCATTTTTCCATCGAGAGGAAAGAGGTCTCTTTTTTTCTTTCTTTACTGTTTTTGCACTCTCATTAGAAGATGCTTTATTTAAAAATAAAAAAAACAAGAAAGAAGAATAAAAACCAAACGTGACGATATTATTTAGAAAAAAGAAAATTATATATATATATATATATATATAACACTTTCAAAACGGGCTGAATGGAAGATGCAGCTTGATGCAGCTTGCAGCATATGAGTTGGAAGTGCAGCGTGTCCGTGGACCTCAGAGGGTTAATAACACTCACTTTATTCCATTTCCAGAGTGTAACCATCTGTCTGAAATCTGAAATTCCCTTGGTGTTGACTCAAAATGTGCTCTGGCACAATCATAAGCATCGCTTACTACTGAAAACAAGAGGTCTGCGCTGTGGGTTGAACCATTTGTTAATGGTGGAGGGGGGTAACACTATGCAATATATTCAGTTTTAGAATTTATATTCACTGTTAACTGTAACTGCACTTAAAGTGTTAATACTATCTTATTTTAATAAACAACACTGTCATATGTAAAACTAGGGTGGCACTTGGGGTGGCTAGAAATCATTTTAGGGTGACACTTGCCACCCCAAGCCACCCTTCTAGATCCGCCCCTGCAAGCATTATGACAAACTTTAAATAAGTATTTAGACGTTGGTGTAAAAATTCTGAACTACACAACGACTGACATAAGAGGACTACTTCCCACATTCACTGAAATGCAACAAACACCATATACGCGTTAGACTCATCTGCTATGTGCCACCGGTCTCCTCTGACTGACCGTACCTTCGGGGGTCGCTGTGGGGAGAGTCAGCTAGCGTTATTTAGCAGCAGCACCACACGGTGGGGCTGTTATCACTGCTTTAAACTGTGGCTGCACTCGTCGCACACTGACAGCTTGGTATGACTTCGCATACTAAGTAAAAGAGCTTTTTTGCATTTTCCCGGATAAGACTGAAAACCCTGTCTTTAGTCGAAACCCCCCACCCCTGTATGTGATTCGGGTTGCGTTCACTCGTATTAGAACTCGCAGATCAACTGACCTGTAGAGTCAGATCATGTGACAGAATGGAGGCGTCGCTGAAAAACATTCACCCGTTCACCACATACACATACCGCCAGGAGCCCATTTCACAATAAACGGATAAGGCGACAAACACCCCTGTCCAACTCAGCTCGTAACGTTTATTTCCTCACACTGCAATGACATGAGGGGAGCATGGGGGCCAAGGAGTCGAGGATAGGATTCCTGTCATATGACGAGGCCGTTAAGAGAGGTAAGCCAAAAATCGTGGGAAGTAGAAATCTATCGTTGCGCTAGGTTAGCTGTCTGCTTTTGGGCTAGCCATATGGAAAAGAGAACGTCCTGACCACCCGTTAAAGTGTAACGCTTTAACTGGGTTCACCTGTTATACGAAGTAGACGCCGGGTATAAAGTAAACGCACGGCCTCGATGGAATTGTTATGCCCAGTATTCATTTCGGCATTAAAATTTGTCGAAAAGCTTCCTTATTTTTTCTGATGTTTAGTTAATCACTAGCTGAGCATGTATTTTCCGCAGTCGGTTGCCCTCGTAAGAGACAACGCTGGGTTGCAGCGGAAAGCGTATGTGGATAATGAAATCTTGAAAAATAACGTAGTTAAACAGTCGCTGTATAAAATCTGACCGCGCCGAATTGAATTATTATTCCTTATAGCATTGAGATAATCCTGAAGTATTTTTATGAAGCGCGTTTTTTTTATTTAAGTGCAAGGTGTAGTTAAATTGGCAGGTTGTTGAACAAGGCTTGGTTTGACGTCCTGTCCAGCTAATTGCTGTGGGAGCTAGTGCTGGCTAGCGAGGAGGGATGGGCTGCGCGGACAGTATTTGGCGAAACAGTTGTGAAAGAAATCTCGAATCCGTGCTTGAATATATTTTTCATTTATATATATTTTTGGATGGCATCACAGGTTGCCTCTGTATCAAGCTAACTGCAGCTGACTAACGTTTATGTCTGTGCTGCTACCACTAGCTTGCTTGTCTAGTAGCTAGACAGTTAGCTGGCTTTCACCTAAGTTGTCAGTGGGGAATGCCTCCAGACTGTTTGTTACAGCCCTCGTCTCCCGGTTTTCAAACCGAGCCATGTGCTGCTTAATCGTTGCTGTTGTTGCCAGTGAGCTGTCAGGTTCTGCGGAGCCTAGCGTACACCAGCTAGCTGTGTAGTTGCAGCGGAACAACAACCAGTTGTGCTTTAAATAGCTGCCGCTGCAGTCAGTCTCTTAAAAATGATCAGGTGGGCTTTTTAACACTGAGGAAGCCATTGGCTGGTCTCTGGTAAACAAACAAGCGTTGACAGGCCTGTAATCTAATGCAGCGTCATGATGTATTTCAGCTCGTATGGGCTTTACTGGAAGCATTTTGTTGTCAGGTTAGAGTTTAAGTGCGCACAGGAGAAGCAATGGATACAGTGTAAGCATAGCGGCACTTATGTAAGATATGGGTGAACATTTATCTGCAAACACACAGAGATCTTATCCCTGATGGCTTTCTTGTTGCACTTTACTCCCTGGGTTGGCAACAGCTGAACTTTGTCAGTCCGGATTGCAGCCATGAGAGCCTGTTACACATCTATTACTGTGTCATAACTTTACCATGCTTCTGCAGGGAAGTTTGACTGGACACCTTTATTATTAATAATGTTATTATGTTGCCTTAGCACAGTTTAGATTTTCGGATAGCGTGACTTCAGTCCTTGTAATACTGCAGCTTAAATATGCCTCAAACAGATTGCCAGTTACACTCTGACGATCATATGTGACCATACACACAGACACACAGGGTGGAATTATCTAGTCGTCCAGTCTTATCAAAGCAGTCACATGGCACCAATTCTAATTGCTACAGCAGGCTTGACTGCCGCAATTATGAGTTCATTTTCCACGAGAGCCTATTCTGCCAGGACATCAGCAGCGTAATGGGCTTACAGTCAGAAAGATTCACCTTTGTTGTGTTATCCTCCGATCACTCCTCACCATCATTTATTCATTCAAGCCTGATTTGTGCGTGGTAGTTTCTCGAGGGATAATTGTGCCTGAAACATTAGATCTGACCAAAAAGTGCGTGTTCCTCCTCATCGCCACTTTTCTGAAATAGAATAAACTCAAATCTTAGAAATGTGGGAAATCGAATATATAAAAATGTAATAAGGGGTTCAAGAGACACACATCTGAGAGTGTTAAGATTTTAGAGGTAAAAGTCATCTTCCCTTTTTCTGTTGACTCACAGTACAATTGAACATTTACTCATGTGGGAGAGGGGAGCGTTAATTTGTTTGAGAGAAGGTTCGAGGCTCAAGTCCAAACATTTGGTGAGTGGCTTGCTGCAGTGACAGCTAACTTTGGGTCAGGTCTAGTGATAGTGTTTATTCCACACTGAACGGCTCCACATGCTCGAATCTGCTGTTATCGTTACGATCATCGTTGTCCGTGAGGAACAGAGCTGACAGAACATATAACTGCATTTGTGATATTGTAAAACTATCAAGGATGATGGGTGTGATTCTCTCTTGAGTAATACGGTTCGTTTTTAAAGTAATCTCACTTTGAATGGCGCTTTACAGCAGGGAAGTGATGCTTCCATTTAGCAGCTGATTGTGCGTACTGCAGCAGACAATGTTCACAAAGCTGTCTGTCCAGGGCCAGAGGTGGGCACTCATCACCGTGTATCATATGTGCTTATAGAGACTGTGGTTGAGGAGCCCGGGTACATTCACAGGCTCAGATTTTGGGCATTACATTTGGTTACATTCTGTTTTTCTTTTATACTCCTGTCCCAGCCCACTAACTCCAGGCTGCTCTGATTGGTCAGCTTGCCCAGAGATGACAAGCAAATGAACTTAAATTCTAAAAAACCCTCCCAGTCAGTCCAGAATGAACAGAGCTCTGTGTAAATCATACAGTAAAGCTTTTTCTTCGTGTTTGAGATGCAGTTTCAATAGAATCAAAGCAGCAGATTCGTTGTATTAAAGTTCCTCTCTGTGAGTATTGGGGATTTCACGGCACCACTGTGATGCATTTTTGATTTCATGCATTAGAGCAGGGGTGTCAAACTCAAATACACAGTGGGCCAAAATTCAAAACTGGAACAAAGTCGCGGGCTAACGTTAATATTTATTGAAATATATTTATTTGTCCAGATATAAGAATGAATCTCTTCTTATGGACTCATTTTGCTAAAAAACTGAATATGGAACAAACAAAGCTTAATACTAAACAATATATATATTAGCTGTATAATACCAGTAGGCCAGCTCTGATAGTAATTTGGTGTGGCTTCACGGGCCAAATGTAATTAGGCTGCGGGCCAGAGTTTGACACCTATGCATTAGAGCAACCAACAACAGCTTCTTGATAGCATGACCTTCAACCACCACGGGCACCTGCTCCTTCTACAAACATGCAAATCTCTCGTATGATTTAACAACACTTCTAACATCTGTTTTAGTCGTCATAACCTGAATAGATTACATAGCAGAATGTTTTACAGGATGCAATGAGGTGGTTTAATGTTATCGATACTGTATTTGTGAAAACCAACACTTTTCTGTAAATTGCTATTTTAGAAATGTAACTTCATTCAGTCATTTTCACCCTCTGCTGCACCTGCCACTGAATCACAGTCAGTTTCTTTGCAGTGGGAATAACAGAAAGTGGAGCGCAGGTTACACAGAGTAACGTCCATGTCGTTAGTTGATTTTTGGACGTTCTGCGATGAAGAAAGCACAACTATTGTGCCACATTCCTGCTCTTGTTTTGCCGTGTTTAACACCGATGTGCTTGTTGGCGTTCCTTCTTATCAGTCAAATTCAAGAGGGAGCAGATGATATGGACTCTTCCAATCATGGTGGTAGAGAAGCTGATCTCAGTCGTCACAGGCAGCCCTGTTGTTGATGAACTGGCCTTGAGGAAGACGTTTTTTAACCGAGCAACAATGCGTGGCTTTAAAAATGTCCCTGTGGACCTGGAGCTTCATCTGGATGTCTTTATTTCTGTCCAGAATAATTGTTCATGATTTCGATGGAGCTGTCAAAGAGTTGGATTGACATGTTTACCTGTTGTTGTGGTTCCTTACGTTCTCAGTGAGACCGGTTCTTCTTAGTAATCTTTGCTGGCACTTTTCTGGAACACCTTCACGGGTTATTTGTACCTTTGTGGTTGACCACTATGTAGTTCAGCGATGCAACAACAACAGCGGTCACTGTGACACAGCCTCACACTCACTCTACGTCAGCAGGCCTTATCAGCTGAGTTAATGCAGCGCTGCTTTGCATGGGGATGTAAATTTGTATTCTGCTGCCGCACAAACCTCCAGTATGGTGTTTGCTATGGAAACATGAGTAGATAGCAGTGCAACAGCGTATACAACAATCTCTATATTTTGAGCAAAGTTGTGTTGCAGTTTAATATTATGGAAATCCAGTGTGACGGAGCTTTCTACGACCACGTGGTATATGCTTCACAGCAAGTGTTTATTTTGCATTGTTGAGCAAAGATAAGAGGTTTATCAGCTGTTACACAGCCTCCTTGAGTTGGAGGTTGCTTAGTTTTTGGTCCTAGACTTCCTGCATGTGCTTACTGTAAGTTTACACCACATACAGGTGGGAAAGGCACACAACAAGGGCAGTTTTTTGTTTTTACACCAAAAGTACATGTTGAAGGTGTCGAGCTGGGGTGTGACGGTATTCTATCATTTCAAAATCAAGTACAGAATCACAAGTCACATCTGAACGCCCCTTTGAATCACTGTGAAGCATCAGGCTGAACAATGATAAATAATAAAGATTTCACTCGTCGCTTTTTATAAAACAAAGGGGATTTAAACGTAACCAGAGGTATTCACAAAACTGCTGAGTGTGCAACAGCGCAGCAAACCGAATAATGATGAGCAGGGCTGCGAGTGGGACGGACGTTAGACACAAGATGACAGCGAATGCCTACCATTGGAGCAAATATCTGAGAGGCAGCATGTTGGGCTGCATCGCTTGTGTGTATGGATAAGTGTGGAAGATCATTTCTTTGCACTGGGACATTTAACAAATTATGGAGACGGCGAACTCGGGCAGTACTGCGAGACACAGACTACTTCCAAAATTATTACAAATGACCAGAGGCTCCCCAGTAAGTCTTAAGGAGAGAAATCCCTCCACGTCTATGAATAAAAACAGCGTCGGTCCAAAGTTACTGTCCTGGAAACTTGTTCTGCTCCTGTCATGGCTGGTGTAGGTGGATGCTTATCTGC